ACCGGTTTTAATGTCAAACACACGAGCGCGTACTACTCCTCGTATGAGAGGGGAGGTGCATGGCATGCTCGAAAGTACAACATGAATTATTTCAAAAGAAAAATTCAAGTTCCATTTCCCAGCTAGGTAGGTCCCATTTCTTTTTCCTTTGATTTCTAATCCACCCCCCCTCCCCCGATGCTTTTTCTGTTGCCTAGAAAATCCCTCTATGAGTAACCTGATTTCTGTCGGGCCTATTAGAGATACACGACTATTTGGGAGTAGACCATTCTCCGACTTGCTGTTTCCTAACTTCAGTCTGCTTTAGAGACCTTTCCAAACGTGAATCCATCCCTACTGGCAGAAACTCTGCTGTTTACGAACGTAGCCTGAATTTTTGAAGTAGCTCCCCTTGATCAGCATTTGGGTGGCTGTTCGTCCAGATGTTCACGGTCATCTCCCTTGTTCATTTCCCAAGAAGCCATTCCAAAGCTTCATTTGCAGTTCAGGGCTAATTGCTCCAGTGTACCCTGGAAACGATCCATTCAGACTTCTTTAAAGATCTCATTCCGCTAATTTTCCATTCTGCTTTTTCGTCAGCCCTCCAAATATCTTCATTCTTTCCCTCCCTTTCTGTTCCCACTGCCCTCGTTCACCTACTCCTCTCTCTCTTACATGGACCCATGCCATCGATTCCCTTGTGAACTTGCCGGTTCCACTCTTGGCCTCCCTTGAATCCGTTCTCCGCCTTGCTGACAGGGTGAACCAAGGTGAAAATCGGATGTTACTTCCCTGCTGGACTTGTTTTAGCGGGAGTTTAAACTGTAACAGACCATCCAATCCTCGCCTTTGGGACCTTCCTACCAGCCCATCGCTCACATAAAAGGCTACACCCTACCCCTCCAGCCACCTGTGAACTCTTGCAAGCTCCAAACACATGATTAATCCAAAACACTTCGAGTCCAGGAGCCTCATCATCAAGGGGTGAACGCCTTGACAAAGCTGCAGACCACAAGGATTCCCTTTTCCTCCTCTTCACCCATTGGTGAAGAGAGTGATTTCCACCCTGAGGTTCACAAGATGCCCGGATGTTGAACAGATGAGCTCTCGACAGTAATTTATTGACCACACGTATTCACGACCCAGGGGAGGATGGCACACAGCCCACGCAGGGCCACGGGACGGCTGCACCTGGGAACAGAATGAACAAGGGCTGGGGGGGGCAGGGGGGCAGCATGGACGAGAGGGAAGGTGAGCCCTAGATCCTGCAGGAAGCTAGGACTGGCTTGCTGGATCATTCCTCAGGCTGTCAGGGAACCGCAGCTTACTATTTAGGGATAAACTGTACCCGGTCCCTGTGATAAGGAGTGCTGCTGTTTGGCCAGGGGACCTCATCTGTGGGAGCAGAGGGGGAAGGGAACTTGGAATCAGACCCTCGGATTTTACCCGAAACCATGGCAGCCCTTAATATTGAATCTTCATCCCCGGCTTTACATCCCAATGGAGTCTGATGTCTGGGCATCTCTTCTAACCTGGGACTGAGACTTTTAAGGAGTAGGACAGGTGCTTCCCTAGGAGGTGAGGTGACGTTGGCCCTTGACCAGGAGGCGGTCGGTCACGAACAAAATGTATGAGGTCCCATGGATGCTCACTCAGCTGATCCCAAGGGAATCCCCGGGTAGCCAAGGGGTTTAAGGAAGGGCTGACATCCTTCGGCACCCGCAATCTGGCAACGGACAGTGGTCCACTGAGGAAGCCGCTCTCGCTTGCAGGTGGGATATGCAGACTTTGGGCTCATCCTGTGGCAAGAAGACCTTGGTAGCTCTCTTAAGCTTGTGGAGGTAGCAAGACGGAAAGAATAGCAGACGTCTGCATCTCAAGGCTCAGAGGCTGTGAGATACTTCATTTCCAGAAGAGCCCAGTGCGTGGCCAGCAATCGCTGCTTTAACGGTTCCTAGCACAGGGCCAAGGACGGATATTTCTTGCATTTGGAGCCCACAGACAATGTACAAATACCAGGGGTGGTCCCAGGGACTCTAGGAAGTGGGAGAGGAGGTTCCTACAGGCTTTCCACTCAGGGCGCCAAAAGACAGTTTTCACTTGGACAGATCCGAGAGCCTTTTGTTGAGGGGAGCCCCAACTCAACGTGGTCTCATTCACAAGTAACCAAAAAATAGGCTTCAGTAAAATTTGTAAAGAAGGAATATGTCACCTCCAGGACTTGATTTTAGGTGGGGACCTATCTCCTGGATCTGACTGCCTGTTTCCCCTCCCCAGATTAGGGAAGTTCTCAGCTATGATTTGTTCAAATAGGCTTTCTGGTCCTCGGTCCCTCTCGGTGCCCTCTGGAACCCCAACTAAATGTAGATTTTTCCTTCCGAGGCTGTCATTTATTCCCCTTAACCTTTCCTCGTGGCCTTTTCATTGTTCTTCTCTTCTTCCCTCAGCTTCCTTCCTTGCCATCAACTTGTCTTCTATGTCACTCACTCGTTCTTCTACCTCATGAACCCTCGTGGTTAGGACCTCCAGTTTGGATTGCATCTCCTTTCACTGATTTTGAATTTCGGCCCGATTAGATCTAAATTCTGCAGTCATGAGGTCTCTTGAATCCCTTATGCTTTTTTCCCAGAGCCACCAGGAGCTTTGTAATTGTGCTTCTGAATTGGCTTTCTCCCATCGAATTGTAATCCAAATTCTGTAACTCCGTGGCAGAGAGAACGGTTTCTGATTCTTTCTTTTGTGGGGAGTTCTTCTTTCTACTCATTTTGCTCAGTGCCCAGCGGCTAAGAACGAGTTGTACTTGTTAGAAGCGCAAGCTCTTCTGCCTGTAGCGTTCCAGCTGTTCGCTCTTTAAATCTCAGGTCGAATTCGTAGGTTTTCAGGATGATTTGAAAGTTATCTAGGGAAGTTGGTGGGGACAGGTGACTTGGGGACCCTACTCGTCCACCGTCTTGCCCCGCCCCCCCCCCCATTTCTCAAACAAAATGTTTAACACAGAGCTTATTTTCTCACAGTTAACTGAAAGATGGACTCCTATTCAGATCTGAAGTCAGTAGCATCGGTGTCACGATTCCCCTGCTCCAGGATAGGCAAGACTCAGACACCAAGGAACCGAATTCACTATCACAACAACCATACACAAAGACCAACGCATTTTTCAGCCCACAACCAGCTCTGGGCTTCAGTGAGCGCCCACTTACCCCTATTTCACTTGGGGTTCTAGCAAGCTGGGTCGTATTCTGCAGATGCACAGCCTCGGGTGCCATGTGGCATCTAAAAAAGCACATTTACTGCAACATAGCCTTGTATTTATTGACAAAGGGCGAAAAACTTGTTTTCATAGGATAAACTAGAAGAATGTAAAACTTGAAAATTACTTCCAGATGACGAGGATCACACATCTCTGAAGGGCAAGCTGAAACTCTCGTGTTCATTCAAAATTTTCTTAGAGGCGCCCGGTTGGCTCAGTCACTTAAGTGTGTCTGTCTTCGGCACAGGTCATGATGCTGGGGTTCTGGGACTGAGCCCCACATCAGGCTCCCTGCTCAGTGGGGGGATGGGGTGTCTTCTTCTCCCTCTGCCTACGCCCCTCCCCTTGCTTCTATTCTTTCTCTCTCTCTCACATAAAGAAATAAAACCTTTTAAAGGAACACATAATTTTTTTTTTAATGTAAGACGGGATTTTATTTAAATCGCTAATTTAGGGCTGCCTGGGTGGCTCAGCGGTTAAGCATCTACCTTCGGCTTAGGTCAGGATCCTAGGGCCCAGAGATCGAATCCCACATCGGGCTCCCCACAGGGAGTCTGCTTCTCCCTCTGCCTGTGTCTCTCCGTCTGTCTCTCACGAATCAATAAATACAATCTTTAAAAACAAACCACCAAACAAACAAAAAAAACCCACCAAACTTTGATTTGTTAAAGACTCTTTGGACCAATATAATTCTCAAACAAAACAAAAACTCCACAAATCCTTCCAGACCCTGTGTTATTCACCTCCCTCACTCCTGACAGAGAACGTTTATCTTGGAAGGGGTACCTAGTCTCGGCGTACCTTGCTCAGAAATAAAACTCTCAGATGTATTCATTAGTAACGCACCTACATGACAGAGGGGGAAAAACCAAATCACAAGATCAAGTAAAAAGGGTGTCAGGTCCAAAGGAGGCGTTTCTCCAGTGGCTTCTGTGACCACGGTCCACATTCTGCCAGCCACCGTGCTTTGTCCCGGTTCCTTCCCCCACAGCACAGTCTCTGAGGTACAGAGGCACCACTGCCCCACGTATGGCAAAGACCCCCCTGAACAACCACAGGGCTCTGTGCAGAGAACAGGAGCGGAGCCTGGACATGGCGGAGCTGTAGTGCACAGTTTGTTCCAGGCATCAACGCCACTGGCCGCCCAATCTGGGGAAGACACAGGCTCCTGCAGCACCCCCTTTCCCGATCTCTAACCCTCCCACCCCAGAGCTCTCACGTGAATTCATGAGGTCCCATTCCTGCCAGCACTTCATAAACGTTAGCGATCCTATCCTGAATGAATAGTGCAGGGGCAATCAATGACTACTCCTGCGGTGCTGAGGCTGCTGGGTTCTCGCCTGAGTAACAGAAAGGTCGAGCGCACTGACGACCAAAGACTTCCTTATTAAGTGAACTGATTAGGGACAAAATGCCTATGCGGGTGCTGTTAGGCCCCCACACACCGACTTTTCTTGGTCTGCGAGATACCTAGGGAAACGCACGTACCCATCACTGCCACATGACAGACCTGAGAGAAGAACTGAGAAAAATCTGTACGAACCCACAAAAGGGCAGATGCAATCGGTGAAGGTGTCGTCGGAAAAGGTGGCCAGATATGATTCTAGCCCGGTATCAAAGACCGGTGCTTCGGTCCTGGTTCCACCACTAACGGGACCGTCCCCTTTCCTGAGAGCGAGTGTAACGAACGATACCTATTCTTGATCCCTAACACAACAGGGGGGGAAATCACATCAGGGAAGAGCTACAAAAGGGCTTTCTGTCATAGTACCTTCACCCAGCCTTGCTCATCTCCAACTGTACTGAACACACTGTCTTGATGACAACAAAATCTCAGTTACTGTCAGGATGGCCAATGCATGGGCTGTCAGTCTCAGCAATTCCACTGGCAGGGTTCTTCCACACGTGCACACGCAATGTATACAAGGAGTTTGATCCTAAGCCCTGTTTGTAAGAGCAAAGGATGACAATCAAGACGGACATCCTCCACTATGGCCCTAGTGACATCACGTAGGCGGCTGATGGTGGCAGCAGGTGCAAGGAGCTGGCGATGGGGCGAAGAGACCGGTAGCCAGTGACTGGATTCCCTCTGAATATATTTTTAAAATTCTTAGGGCAGCCCCGTTGGTGCAGTGGTTTAGCGCCGCCTGCAGCCTAGGGCATGACCCTGGAGACACTGGATCGAGTCCCACGTCAGGCTCTCTGCATGGTGCCTGCTTCTCCCTCTGCCTCTCTCTTTCTGTGTGTCTCTATGAATAAATAAATAATCTTTAAGATATATTTTTTACACATATAAATATATATATATATATTTTTTACATATATACACACACACACCCATATATATATATATATATATATATATATATATATATATATATATATATTTTAACATTCTTGACCAAGCAGGCACCTTCACAAAACAAAACAATTCGGCAAACAAGAAGGGGAGTTTTCACTTACCATTATCTCCAGAAGGTGCTACCCATCTCAGCCCCAAGGTTAGGAATCTGACAATGACTTTCTGTCTTCCGTACAAAGGCCTTGATAAGCTGACTGACGCCCTGGACTCGAGCAAAATATCCTGAAAGAGAGACAGACAGAAGCTATGGCTCACAGAGGTCAGACATAATCCTTGCAAAGCCCACCCCAGGAGAACAGCAAAACAGGACACTTCTCTTCTTCTTCACGGTCAGCGCTTTATCTGGGAAATTCACAAGAGAAGCAGTGACTTTCAAATTCTATCCCTTTTTAAAGCTGTTTGAACCAAAGCAAGTACAATCTATTTAATAGTGGAATTACCTATCTGAAAAATAAACTCTCCCACGATTTCACTTAGGAAAGACAAGTGTTTAGCATCAAAACATCAGACCAAAATGTTCCTCTTGAAAACGGGCTTTCTCGTAGCTAGGTGAAAGCCGCTTAAGTCTCTGCTGAAAGTTAAAATGGCAATATCATGACAAAAATAGTATTTTGGGGTCATGAAATTGGCCTGGTAAATACCACAGCAAAAAAATAAAACGGAGGGGGGGTAATTCTTATCGTGTTCCCTTCATCTCCATCCCCAGTGGGTAAGAGCCTCTATGTTTCTAAAATGGCCTCAGAGATGGGGCGAGGGAAAGGCACCACGTCAATGCCACTGAACAAGTTAACTTGTTCAGCATAGGAGACGGGAAATCAAAGAGGGGAAAGGAATACAATCTGCATTCTAAAGCCCCGCTGCTGAAAGGATGACTATCTTAAGAACCACATCGCAGTGGCATTTAGACACTTACGGCAATCAGACATAGGGATTCTAGGTCTACTGATGCTCCTAATAAATAATTTGAGTTTGTATTTTGTGCGTCCAGTAAATCATTTTCCTTGTGTGTTAAAGAATTATCATCCACGACAGACTGGATGTTGGGGAAAAACTTTTACAGGTGCTCACCACAGACTATCTGGGAAGGACTCTCCTAGGAAGCTCCAGTCTGAAGATGCCAGCCCAGGGAGAGGAGGAAGGAAGGACACACGGCTGTCATGCTTCCTGGGGCACCCAGCTCCTGGCGCCCCACAGAGGGTCCCTGGCTCTGCAGCATCTGTTAGGAAAGCTGCCTCAAGAGCAGGGCACGGAGGCCTGAGGCCTCTTAGCCAGGCCTTGCCCCATCTTCCTGATGCCGGGGTTCACCCTCGCCTCAAAGTAACTACCCTGTCCCCATGCCCAGGCACCACCACTTCAAAATCGCTTTGCATTTCTTACAGAAGCTACCCAGGGGATCCATCTCTAGGGCCCACGTTCCCTGCACACACAAAAGCAACAGTCATTTGGTCAATTTCTCCAACTCCCTGGGACTAAGACACCCTGTCATCTCAACTCCTTTCCCTGTCTGGATAGAAATGACTTGCAGAGACGAATAGTGTTACCATCACCTGTACCAAGGCAGAAAGAGTAATTCCTTCCTTGGACAGGTCACAGAAAAAGATAACATAAGTGACTTTTAGACAGGTAAAAACGATCCTCAACTTCACCCCAAAATAGGAGGAATATAAAATAAAATTATTGTAACATACCATTTTTCACCTATCAGATGAACAAAGATGAGAAGTGTCATGATACGCTATGTTGGTGAGCATGTCGGGAAAGAAGCACTTCCAGAAACCACTGGAGAGACTGAACACTGGAACTCTCATTTTAAGAGGGAATCCCTTGGGGTGCCTGGGTGGCTCCGTCGGCTCAGTGTCTGCCTTCAGCTCAGGCCATGATCTCCAGATCCTGGGAGCGATCATCGGGCTCCCAGCATGGAGCATGCTTCTCCCTCCTCTTGTGTCTCTGCCTCTCTCTATATCTATCATAAATAAATAAACAAATAAATAAGTAAATAAATAAATCTTTAAAAAAGAAAAAAGAAAAAAGAAGCCTCTGGATAGAGGGCATCTTAGGATGGCCTTGCTCCGAGATATTTAGATCTTTATTCATTCAGCCAGTATCCTGGAGCCCTCTCTAAATGTTGAAAACTGGAAAGAATCGAAGGAGAGAAATGAGCTACAGTCCCCACCCTTGGGAGCTAATACAATGTAAACAACCCTTTACCTGGTTCTGGGAGACAGCAATGTAAATAACTATTTACAGTGCTTCTGGGAGCAGAGAGAAGCCAGGAAAGGCTTCACAGGGCACAGCCTAAGGAGATCTCAGATAAGACAGAAGCACACCCAGAGAGGATGGGAGAGGGACTGTGGTCAGGCTCCTGCACCTGGGCACTGAGTAAGGGCTGAAAGGAGCCATAAACTGGGAACTAGGGGGCCACGGGGAGCCATCGATGGATTCTCCACAGTGGAGTGGCATCAGATTTGAGGTTCAGAATGAAAATTCTAACAGCATAGTACAGGCTAGAGGTAGGACAACACCTGGAGGGCCTCCACAGTGATTCAGGGAATGACTAAGAACAGACACGAAGCCCTACCAGTCTGATCCTGGCCAATGCCACGCTGCTATTTTAACAAAAATGGTATGCCTGAATCACTGACTGTAAACCATCAACTTGAAAACCACTTTAAAAAGTTCAAGAAAGGGGCGCCTGGTGGCTCAGCTGCTTAACCATCTGCCTTCGGCTCAGGTCATGATCTCAAGGGTCCTGGGATCGTAACAAGCAGGGAGACGAGAGCATGGGTGGAGAGCACCATACATCTTCACTTACCCTTTTATAAAGGTCAAAGAAAAGTGTTCCAACACCACAGCTTGATGGATGGAAGGATGCTGTTGATGACTCAAAATAGAATATTGATTTTTTTTTTTTAAAATGAGGCTTTTTCTCAAAAGGATATTTGGAATAATGAAATGTTCACTGAGTGGAGCTATGCAGCCCATCACTGCATTCAACCACAGGTGGGTGCCATGCATGATTTGACACTAACCTTTTCATTTGGTTACTCACTGAACAAGTATTTGTTGGGTTCCCTTCCGTGGGCCATCATGAGTAAGAGACATGGCCCCTGCTCTGACAGGACTCAAGGGCTGTCGAGGAAAATGAGCATTTAGACTCCAGTGCGATGAGTGCTCCCCCTGGGGAAGCACGGGGCCTCACAGAATAGAGAGCTGTCATCACCACCATCAGGGTAAGGTTTCTTGAGCTCACACCGTGTGCCTGGCACTGCTCCAGGGGCTCTGTAAGAATTAGCCCCACCGATGCTCACAGGAACTCCATGGGGTAAGTATCGTGGCCTCCATGTTATGGATAAAGAAACTGAGACGCAGAAAAGTGAACAGAGTTGCTCAGGGTTTCACAAGAAGGCTCTGAACCTGGGCAATTTTGCTCTCGAGATCCTGGTTCTTAACTTCTAGGTTCCAGGTACATGCATTACATGTATGACCTCACTGAATCCTCAGGCTAACTATGTGATCGATGCTATTATCATGCCCTTTTTGGAGATGAGAAACCTATGCACAGAGAAGTTAATAAGATGCCAAAGGTTAGAGACCTTGGGAGGGCATCTGATACAAATGTAAGATACCAGACCAGGAAGGTTTTTGAGACGTAGCAAGTGAGTTGGAGTTGGAAGTTTGGATGTCAGATAGCAGAAGGGTATGCTAAGGCAGGGAGGACAGAGGTACGAGAGACAGCCTGGGAAGGAAGGATACACTCAAGGTGACACAGCTGTGGGGGAACCGTTGCAGCCATCTCAATCCCCTTCGGCTTGGGTGCATGGGGCTTGCTGAAGTCTGAGGGCCAAGCAGGGGGACTTCCAGGGCTTAAGGGCCTTACACAGAAGAGGAGGTAATGGTAGTCCACTACTGGAGGAGGAGATGCGACAGCTGAGACATCCCTCACTCTGGGGCCACCCAAGGCTCAGACAGGCAGAGCCTGCTAAAGAGCAATGGGGACAGGGATTGACAGGGGCCCTGCAGGACTTTGGGCCTTAAAAAGAATATCAGGCACTGCAAGACACCGGGGTGGCTCTGCGGTTGAGCATCTGCCTCTGGCTCAGGTCATGATCCTGGGGTCCTGGGATCAAGTGCTGCATTGGGCTCTCTGCAGGGAGTCTGCTTCTCCCTCTGCCTAGGTCTCTGCCTCTGTCTGGGTCTCTCATGAATAAATAAATAAAATATCGAAAAAAAAAAAAACAAGAATATGAGGCACTGGTTCTCTACCATAGGGAAGGCAAGAGAGCTGGGGAAATTCTCTTGATGTGGGCATACGAGTCCTACTAAGTGCGAAGGTAAGGCAGGAGAACTCAGATAAACAAGTCCTGCCCAAGGGGAAATTTAATCCCCCCTCAAATCAGTTGAAGTCTATGGTGAACTGAGTGTATCCAAAGCACCAACAAAGACTAGACTCATGCAACAACAGACTAGACGGACCGGAGTCCTCACACGATCGGCCCGGCAGAGGAAGCACGCCACGCTCAGTTTCTACACACATTTGGCGTTTCGTCAAAATTCACCAGAGGAGAAACACAGAAAATATGATGCATTATCAAGATACACAGTCAAGAGAACTAGGTCCAAAGACAGTCAAGATGTTGGAATTATTTTTGCAGGGACTCTGATAAGTCCATGAAAGGATCTAGTCAAAAGGTGGACAGAATGAATGAGTACATGAGGGGTTTCATCAGAGATTTGGAAGTTGAAACAAACTATCAACACTAAAATAGAGTGGGGAAAAAATTAGAACAAAGTACCCCAAATCAGTGGGACAATATTAGGCTATGATACCTGTAATAAGAGTGCCAGAGGGAAGAAAGAACATGGGGCAGAAGAAATATCGGATAACCCATGACTGAGAAGCTTCCAAATTTTTAAAATAAATGTGTTTATGAGAAAGAGAGAGAGAATGTGTGCGTGTGCAGGTTCAGAGGGAAAGAGGAAAGAGAGAAGCCGACTCTGCACTGAGCACACAGCCCAACGCAGGACTTGATCCCATGACCCTGAGATCATGACCTGAGCCGAAATCAAGAGTTGGATGCTATACCAACTGAGCCAACCAAGCGTCCCCGAAGTTTCCAAATGTAATGAACTATATCCATCACTGATGCAAATGCAGAAAACTCCAAGCAGGATGAACACAAAGAAAGACACACCTAAAAGATCAAGGTCAAACTGTGGAGAAAGAGAAAATCTTGAAAGCAGACAGAAAGAACAAAGAGCTCTCAAACAGGCAGGGGAGCAATGTAAGAATGATGGCTGACTCGTCACCAGAAACGTCATGACCAAAGGACAACAGAATGGCGTGACATCTTAAAGTGCTGAATGAAAAAAGTCAATCTACAATTGTACATCAAATGCAAACATTTCAAAGATAAAGGCAAAATAACAAGATTTTTAAACAAAAAATAATCTCTAGGGCAGCCCCTGTGGCGAAGCCATTTAGTGCCGCCTTCAGCCCAGGGCGTGATCCTGGAGACCTGGGATCGAGTCCCATGTCGGGTTCCCTGCATGGAACCTGCTTTTCCCTCTGCCTGTGTCTCTGCGTCTGTGTGTGTGTGTGTGTGTGTGTGTGTGTGTCTCTATGAATAAATAAATAAAAATCTTAAAAAAAAAAAACGTAATCTCTATGCCCAGTGTGGGGCTCATACTCACAACCTTGAGATCAAAGGTCGCCTGCTCTTCCAACTGAGCCAGCCAGGCGCCCCTAAAATAATGACAGTTTTCAGAGACAAAGACTAAGGAGATTCAATCTCCTGAAGACCTCACCACAGTACTGTCGTGGGGAGGGAAGGGAGGTGGAGGAGGGAAGAATTTGGGTGTTCGACATCTATACCCGCCTAGTGTTGGGTGAGGAAATCTCTTCAGGAAGGTGGCAAGAGCTCTAACTTCCCATGCCGGTGCTGATTAGTCCTGGCCTGCTGCAGCCCCGGTCAAAGGAGGACTGGAGCCTGCGCCAGAGCTCCCTGAACAAAGGAGCAAACAGGCTGACAATGATGACAGAGAGGTACCGGGGCGCTTGGGGGGCATCTGCCTTTGGCTCAGGTCAGTGATATCGGGTCCTGGGACCCAGCCCCACATGAGGCTCCCTGCTCAGTGGGGAGTCTGCTTCTCCTTCTCCCTCTGCCTGCCACGCCTCCTGCTTTTGCTGGCAAATAATATATAAAATCCTTAAAAAAGATGGGATCGCTGGTGCTCAGCAGTTTAGCGCCTGCCTTTGGCCCAGGCGCGATCCTGGAGTCCGGATCAAGTCCACATCGGCTCCGGCATGGAGCTGCTTCTCCCTCCGCCGTGTCTCTATGTCTATCATAAACAAACAAACAAACAAATAAATATATCTTTTAAAAAAATCTTAAAAAAGAGGAAGAAAGAAAGAAAGAAAGAAAGAAAGAAAGAGAAAGAGAGAGAAAGAGAGAAAGAAAAGAAAGAAAAGAAAGAACCAATCATTCCAACTACGGATGTTTTCTTCCCCAGGCTGAGTATCATTCTTGATGTCACACTGGAAATTTCACTGTGCAGGCAGACTAGGGACATGAAATGTTAGAGATTTTATCTACTTTCTAGTAAAGTGTTAGGATAGTTGAACATAAAGAGGACTGTCAGTTTGCAGCTTGCAGCTTTTAACTTCTTATGCCTCTGACATCTCGGGGGATTAAGGAGCAGTTCTGGTTTCAAGTCCACTAGGCAGTTTAGAGTTAACTATTTCTCAACCTTGGCACTTTTGACATTTTGGTCTAAATAATCCTTTCTTGTGGGAGGCTGTCCAGGGCACTGCAGAGTGTTAAACAGCATCCCTGAGTCCTACCTGCACAGAAAGCAGCAGCAACACGCGCCCCTCTCCCCGGGGGTGACAACAAAAAATGTCTGGAGATTTTGCCAAATTGACGGGCCGGGTGTCAGACTGTTTCCAGTTCAGAACCTTTCAGAGATCATCATCATCATCATTATCTGCAGCAGCAGCATCTTTATGGTTGCCAAAAATGCAAAAAGATAGTCTTTCTATGTGAAAAATCAACATAAGTTAATCGCATTAATAGGACAGGAGGGGGGCAGCCACAGTGGCTCAGGAGTTTAGCGACACTTTTGGCCTGGGGAGTGATCATGGGGACCCGGGATCAAGTCCCATGCATGGAACCTGCTTCTCCCTCTGCCTGTGTCTCTGCTTCTGTGTGTGTGTGTGTGTGTCTCTCATGAATGAATAAAAAAAATCTTTTTTTTTATAGTTTTTTTTTAATTTTTTTTTTTTAAATTTATGATAGAGAGAGAGGCAGAGACACAGGCAGAGGGAGAAGCAGGCTCCATGCACCGGGAGCCTGACGTGGGATTCGATCCCGGGTCTCCAGGATCGCGCCCTGGGCCAAAGGCAGGCGCCAAACCACTGCGCCACCCAGGGATCCCGAATAAAAAAATCTTTTAAAAAAAAATAGCACAGGAAGTTTTCAGGAAGAGGAAGGATACTCATCTGAGTCTGTAATGACCTAGTAAATGATTCTGCTTTGTTTTCTTAGAGCTATCCCTAAGGATGTACATTGAGGGGAGGAGCCCTATATCCTGAAAAACGAAAGAACACAGAAACTTACTTTACTTCTTTTCTAAAGACTGTTTCTCTTTTAGTCCCCTGACACTTTAGTGAATTGCTGACAGATTTCTTAAGTTCCAAGAATTCTAGGTCTTTTTCTCAGTAGCCTGCCTTTTTTTTTTCTTTTCAAATGGATTTAATAGCCTGAGGATTTTCTGACATCCTATTGTCCTGCCTTGGACAACGAATGAACAAATAAAACAGCACCTGCTGTAGTTAGCCACAGAGCTACTTCTTAATCAGTCATCTGGAACTTTTCCTGAATGGCCTTCGATACCACATTTTTTAATTCCCAGGAATTTCTTAAAACTCCCTTTCCTAACATTTCAATGAATTTTAAAGATTTACTTATTTGAGGGGCAAGAAAGGGGGCAGAGGGAGAGAGGGAATCTTAAGCAGACTCCCCGCTGAGCATAGTGACCTGAGCTGAAACCAAGAGTCCTTTGCTTAACCGACTGAGCCACCCAGACGCCCTCAGTGGATTTCAGTGAGAGAGAAGAAATACACACATGAGTTCAGTCAACCACCTTAAACCACCTTAAACTATCTCCTGTAGGGTCTTCAGTTTATGAGAGAATTTTCCTACCATGGATAATTTCAGGAACTACCAGTGGAGACAACAGGTCAACCTGTGGTGCTATAGCATGCTGTTATGACTACTGTGTAATAGCATATTATGCTACTATGATTGTGTTCCTAAGGATTCGTGAAATATTCCAAATCATGAAATCGATTCCTACACCTCTTTTGCCACCCACAATTCTAAAAGAACAGAGAAATACTTATAAAAGTGTGAATTCAGAAGGTGCTGGCTCCTTGTGAGGGATGCGGTGGCAAAGATGGACAATGCAGGGCACCTTTGCTGGTGGCCAAAGCCCTGGCCGCCACCTAAGAGCTATGCTACTATGAGCAGATTACCTAATGTCTCTGTGCACCCTATTTCCTCACCTGTAAAACTGGAATTTCAATTTATAGAATTGAGTGGACTGAAAGAAATTTTACACAAAAAGTCCTAATTCCTTGAAAGCTCAAAACATGGTTTTTGTTATGACATAAGTGGTTAAGAGCACAGACTCTGGAGACAGACTTCCCAGTTTTGTGACCTCAGACAAGTTCCCAAATCTCTCTGTGCCTGTTTTCTTGCCTGCAAAAGGGGACAATGCGCTACTGATTTGGCATTAAATGAGTTGCTAGTGCCCGGCACATAGTAAACATCCAAATAAATGTAAGCTATCAGTATGACAATTATTTTTTTTGGAAGGATCTTTCTGGCAACATTGTGGAAGATGTGTGAAGCTATCAGTATTTCAATTATTTTTGGGGGAAGGAGATTTCTGGCAACAGTATGGAGATGCGTGGAGGGGGAGGGAAGACATGCTGCCTCCAGGGAAACTGAGGAGCTGAGTATTAAGACCTGAGGGGGGGGCCGAGGTGGCTCAGTAGGTTAAGTGTCTGCCTTCAGCTCAGGTCATGATCCTGGGGTCCTGAGATCAAGTCCTGCATCCAGCTCCCTGCTCAATGGGGAGTCTCCTTCTCCCTCTACCTCTCCCCTCTGCTCCTGCTCTTTCTCTCAAATAAATAAATAAATCTCTCAAAAAAAAAATAAATCTCTCAAAGCATTTAGTTTCCTGGAGAATGATACCAAGTACAAAGGCAACCTGCATTATAGAAAAACAGGTGCTGGGTGGAATTACAAAAGTGCCCGGGGTTGGGGCCATCCAATCTCTGCTGGAGCACCGGGGAAGGCCTCTTACAGGCAGAGATGTTACGCTCTTGACTGGAGAGCTGAACAATGAGTTAGGAGGTAGCTACAGGGCAGGTGTGGAGAAAAGAGTCCCAGAGATTTTCAGGTAGGGGCTAACAGGTAAGAATGCTCGGGCTGCTCTGGAAAAGAGGGCCACGTAAGGTGGGAATCCAAGTGAGAAGAAAGAAGCTGCCAGAGGAAGCAGAGGCCAAAGAGACCCTAATGGGCCTGGCAGCTTTAAAAGCCTGAAAACTTTGTGCAAAAAGAGCAGACACCCCTTTCCCGACAGTGTACCAACAGGCCAAAACGACAATGTGACAAGTATGTCTTGACAGTCCCTGAATGTTTGATTTCGCACTACTGGGTCACTAAGAAGGCTAAGGAGGGGGGCGGGGGCGTGGGGGCAGGTAAGAAAACTCACAAGGAATTACCTTATGATTCATTTGCAGATTCTTGGTTGAAACAACAGCCCCTACTACTGCCCTGTCTACCTCCCTGTCAGCATTAGTTCTGCCATTTTCCTACAAATGACAGAAAAGCAGGCACCGCTGGGCTTCAGGGCACAGGCATCAACTCCGGAGACATAAACGCACATTAAGACAATAGGGTGGGGTAGCAACAAAACTAAACAACAAAACCAAGGCACTAAGCAAGAAGTTTGGGGGATGGAGGGAGGCGGGGAACTGAAACCCTAACAAGCAAATTTAGAAAACGGGAGGGGAAGTAAAAGTATTTTCCTACACACACACAAAAAGAGCTGTCCCCACGTGCTCTGGCCAAACCAAACTCCCCTTTGACTCAACTGCTGAAAAAAAAAAAAAAAAAGAAGAAGAAGCCAAAGCTGTGAAAAACTCACACTTTCATACGTCTTCCCAGAATAGTCAGTAGGTACACTACAGAGTACAGCTAACTGCCCTAGAAGACCTTGAAAGATTTGCCCCAGATAACAGGGCACATGACAATCCCCGCGAGGAGCTCCCAGACCCAGCAACCCTTCCTGTTCCAACAACCTGATCGTCTACACCTGCGGGCTCGTCTGTCCTTTCATAATCGATAGTGTTTCCTGTCCAGCATTCAAGCGGTACCAAGGAAACCTGCAGAAGGATCTGCTTCCAAACAGAGTAAGATTTTTTTTTTTTTTGGGTCCAAGGCGTTTCCACAATTCTTTCCTCCTCCCAGTTGCACATTTCTAAATGTCAGGAACTTGGGCAGTCCGGTCCTCAGCACCCCCCCCCCCCGCCCCGGTTTGCAGACGGCAACGCCTCTCAAGTCCCAGGAAGGCCGTCCCAGGACCCCCCCCCCCCAGGCGGATGCGATGCGCCCCAATCGCCCCTTCCTTATTCAGGGCCAGAGGGGCTGCAGCCGTAGGGTCTGCGGCGGCCGGGGCGCCCCGGAAAGGGTGAGAAGGCCGCCCCGGAGCTCGGCACCCGCACGGCTCCGGGCACACCCGACACCAGTTTTCGCCCGGGGCAAAAGCACGACGGGGGCCGCGGAAGGGTCGCGGCCTGCGCCACCGCCTGCCCCCCGGGACCCCAGGCCAGGCGCCCGGGAGCCGCGCCGGCCCGCTGCTTCCCGGCCCTCGGCGGCGGCCCCGAGCTGCACGCCAGGCCGCGGAGTGGCGCAGCCCCGACCGGGGCTCCCGCGGGCCTGGCGCCGGCGGCTGGAGGCCGGAGCGGGGGCGCGCGCCGGGGAGCACCTCCGCCCCGCCCCCGCCCCCACGCGCCCCCGCCCCACCCCCCCACCCGCCACCCCGCGCCCCGCCGGCGGGGCGCACTCGCCTGCCCACGTCTGGTTGGCCAGCTGCTTCATGCGGTTGAACTGCTTCTTCTTGGCGGCGGCAGCCGGGAGGGGGGCGGCGGCCCGCGGGGCTCCTACCGGACAGCTGGGCGGACGCACTGGAGCGGCTACTTCGCTTCCGCCGGCGGCAGCGGGAGAGGCGGGGAGGCAGCGTCGGCAGCGGTAGCGGGGGCGGAGGCGAGAGAGGCGGGGAGGTAGCCGCGGCGGCGGCCCACGGGGATAGGCCGGGTACCTCCAGGGACAGCGTGACGCAGCTACTTCGCATCACGCAGGCGCCTTGCTAGCTTCCGGGTTGTGTGGGCGGGGCCGAAGGAACTCTCCAATGAACCGTTTCCCCGGCCGAGGGGCGGAGGGAGCGACCAATGAGCGTCTGCGCCGAGGAGCCAATGAGCGGTAAGGTTTGCTGGGGAGGCTGACGTGATGACGTCACTGAGATGCGCCCGCTGAGCGCGGGGGAAGCCAGCCGGTTTCTCCTGCCCGGCGGGAGGTGCGCTGGTCCTCCCGGCGTCTGCGGACCCCGCTTCCTCCGTGTCCCTGGCGGGCACGGCAGCCCGGAACCTCCACGCTGATGGCCGCTAACCTGAGGACGCCCTCTTTCGCCTCCTGTTCGTCGACCTCGACAGACACGGACGACGAGGGTGTGCGCGGCACTTGCGAAGATGCTTCCATGTGCAAGAGGTGCTGGCCGGGCGCGGGCCGGGGGGCGGCTGCCCAGCGGGGCCGGGGCCTCGGGGGGAGGCTGGCGCTGAAAGGTTCCCGTCAGCTCGCGCGACCCTCGGGCCACGCCTGGGACTGCCCGCAGCGGAGGTTCGTTTGTTCCCCTGGTCGGCGTCTCCCTTCTGCTGCGAGCCGGGGCTGGGGTCCGGGCCTCCTGGGGGGCGAGGCCACGAGGTAGAGTCTTGGTGCGTGAGGAGAAGCGGAGCGTCCGCCTGTTGAGTAGGTTCCGTCGCGTCGTGGGTCGTCCTGGTCCCCTCTGCGCCTGCCGTGGGGCCAAGCAGGGCGTGGGGGGGGGCGGGGGGCGGGGGCGGGGGCGGGACGGCCCGGCCAGGACCGCGTGCAGGGGTGTGCAGAGCCAGGACCTTCCCCAGCTCCTGCCTGGATGCCACAGGAGCCTACCGCCCGGGGGGTGCTGCGGCGGCCGCGTTGGGAGCACACACCTGTGTCCCGTGTGGGAGCGCCTGAGGCTTGAGTGTCCTGCGTTCCTCCGCTCGGCGGAGATCGCGGAGAGTAGAGTGGGTGGCGGGCGCTTGCTCTCGGGTGGCCGGTGGGTCCTGGGGACCCACGATGAACAGGCCTGACGTGGCGTGTGAGGCGCTCAGCACCTGCCGCGAGAGACGGGAGGCAGACGTCACCCGTGAAGAACGGAACTGCAGCGTGCCATCAGAGCCTGTAATTGAGGCAGTACTGTGCGAGCTGAGAACAGAAGGCTGACCACCCAGCAGGGATGTAGGAGGGCGTTGGGTCAGGGCAGGGCGGAGCGTGAAGAGTCCAAGGCATGGGAAGAACGCCGCTGAAGCTGGAGCACGTGCGGACTGTCGGCGGGAGCAAGCCGAGGGTCTGGGTTCAGACCTGCGCTTTTTGTTACTCCTTGGAGATTCGGCATAGTGATGTAAAGCGCGGACTCCAGGGCCAGGCTCTCTCAGGCTGACCCGAGCTCTGCCCCTTATGGTCTGTGTTAGTTACTCCACCACTCTGCGGGCTCTCAGTTTCCTGACCTGAGAAATGGAGTCATAATAATCCCACTTCATAGATGATTGTAAAGATTGAATGGGAAATAACTAATAAGGCGCTTAGAGCCACGTCTGGCATGTAGTAGGTGTTAGTGGTGGTAAAATAAAAGTAGAGATAAATCCGTACATTAAGTGTCTAAGACTGGGGGGCCGTCTTGCAGGTTTTTTTTTTTGTTTTTTTTTTTTTAAGTTTTTACTCATCGGTGAGAGAGAGGGAGGGGCAGAGACACAGGCAGAGGGAGAAGCAGGCTCCCTGTAGGGAGCCCGTTGTGAGACTTGATCCCAGGACCCCTGGATCACAACCTGAGCCCATGGCACATGCTCAACCACTGAGCCTCCCAGGTGCCCCGAAATTTGTGAACTTTAATGGATGACACCCCACTTCATTTCTTCTTCACCTTTCCAGTGCTGTTGACCGTATGTGTAGCCCTTTGAATTAGAAATAATTTTCCTCCCATCCACTTCTACTTGCTAAGAGAATGTGAAGTGCCAAGGAAACAATCAGAAGGAAACAAAATACTTTTCAGTAGCGTATTACGGTTAGGTTTGTTTGAAACGTATTGGTGATTTTGATTTATTTGAGATTCGTCGCTAACAGTTTTTGCAAACTTGCTTACTTAAAAAAACAGTAAAAATGCTCTTATTGGATAATTTCTATAGTTTCTCAGCTCTTCTCTGCCTCAGTTTCTAATGCCCCCCCCCCCCCCCCCCCCGCCGCCAGTCTGGAGACATCTAATAGGGGAAGTTTCGGGTCGGAATTGCAGGATTCTAGGGCAGCAGAACCCAGCCCAAAGTGCACATCACTGGAGCCTGTGGAGCTTTGTAAAGAACACACAGTTGCTCACATCCTATTGCAGACTCACTGAGTCTGAAGCTTCCGGGTTAGGTGCCCTGCTGTAAAGACCAGGTGTGTTTGCCATCTGGATGCATTTCATCAAAGCTGTTCTTGCACTGGGCTTTCCTCCATCTGAGAAACCTGCAACAAGCTTGGGAGAATCCGTACGTTAATGTTCTGAGACATTTTGCAGGGCTCTGTTCTGCAAGGTCTGTGATACCATAACCTGCATCTTCAGTGTAATGTAACGTGTTAAACCCTTAAGTCTCGTCAGAAAGTCATGTAATTAGTGAGGCCGGGATTCCTTGCAGGACCAGGGGCAAATAACTTCCTGCCTCAGTCCTCTCTTTGGAATGGGGAAGAGAATGGTAACCCACCTTTGGGACGTAAGGATTCAGTGAGAAATAGACACGAGGCAGTTATTAGCACAGGCTCTGGCGCAGTGAGAAACCTTCACTAAGTTATTATCGCGAGCTTTGATTTTCCTCCATTCTTTTTTCTTTTCTTTTTTCTGTGTTTTACAGAGTTTATTTGTTTTACAGAGAGTGCGTGCACGCGTGGGGGGGGCGGGGCAAAGTGAGAGGGAGGGGGAAAGAATCTCAGGGAGAGTTTGCACTGAGCGAGGAGCCCAACGTGGGGCTCTCTGTCACGACCCTGAGACAGGACCTGAGCTGAAACCAAGAGCTGGGCACTCAGCCACCTGAGCCACCGAGGCGCCCTTCATTTCCCTCTATTCTGAGTATTACTTGGTTGAAGTTACTGAACGTGTGCCAGGTGTGGGTCGGGCTGGTTCCTGCCACCCTGGGTTCCAGCCACAGCAGCCCCTAAAATAACGTTAAGAAACCAGTCAGCCTCCCAGAACTCCTACGGTTCTGCTGTTTGGTGTGTTCCCTCCTTCTGTACAGGCCCTGGGGGTGCTCAGCATGCTGTGAGCTGTCAGCTGAACAGGTGTTTGCCAGATAGAAGAAAATCGCATGGACATTTAAGCACATGCTGTGCAGGGGAACCTGACCTTGGGCTGCAGAGCGGGTAGGGTTCTGGAGCCACAGTCAGAGGTGAAGTGCGGGAAGGGCCGAGGAGTTGCTTCTCTTTCCTGTCTGGGGTTTTTGTTTTGTTTTGTTCTCCTTACCCAGATTTTATTTGCTTATTCATGAGAGATGCAGAGGCAGAGAGCATGCGGAGGGAGCAGCCGGCTCTCCCTGGGGAGCGTGATGAGGGACTCGATCCCAGGACCCTGGGACTCAATCCCAGCGCCCGCGATCCTGACCTGAGCTGAAGAAAGATCCTGAATCACTGACCACCCATGGGCCCCGGGTCGAGGGGTTTTGGGTGGGGGAGCTGACGTGCTCTGGGTTTGTTTTAGAACAATCGCCAGCAGCCACGTGGGAGACGGCGTTGGCAACAAAGGGCAGGTCCGCTCTCTTTCCTTCCCTGCTGCCACACCCCTCCCTTGGCTCAGGTCCCTTCTCTTACCTGGGCCTGTTGCAACATGTCCTTATGGTCCTGTCTGCTTCAGGTGCAGCTCCCCTGCTACGCAAGTGTTCGTTGTCCGGCCAGGGTAATGTAACTTGCGATCAGAAATCTTGTCCTGTGGGACTGGGTGACTGGACACCTCTTGATTCCCCGTCAGCCGCAAGCTTAGAATCTGCAGTGCGTGGCATGGCACACTTTGCTTTCGGTGATCCTGTCACGCTACTCTGGCTATCCCCCTGCCAGCTGGAAATCTCCATGTAGATGTCTCAGCATTTCGGCAGGTTCATTATTTCCAAAAGTATGCTCGAGATGCCCTGCCTGTGTTTTCCTCCTTGCTACCACAGCCCTCCAAGTCCGTGAAGGGTGCCACACTGTTCGTTCCGTTGACCGGCGCAGAGGAGAGGAGTCATCCTGGATCTCTGCTCCTACTCAGCCCCTTCCTTGTGTGATCGATCCTTCACCCAAGCCTGTGATGTCATCTGCTAAAGATTTCTGGACTCTCCCTCCTTTTCTCCACCTCTCCTTCTGCCCTGTGAGCCTGAGTTACGGTCGTGTGGTGCGAGCCATGGTGCTCATCTGCTAGCTGCACCTCCGGGGACTCGTGCCTCCCTCAGCCTCTAGCTGCCCCTGGAGCCTGAGGTTTGTGGAGGGCACATTGCATCATGTCACTCCCTGGCCTCGTGGCGTCCTGTTGGCATTTGAAAAGTTCCTGATGTGGTCTGCGTGGCGGCCCCATCCTTGCTTCCCCAGTGTGGCTTCACACCAGCCTTGCCTGCCCTCCGGGATCCATTCAGTCCGTCAGATGTGCCCTATACCCACCGGTCTTAGGGCTGAGCAGCTGCTCCCTGTGCCCAAGAGGCTCTTGCCGTGGTGGCCCCGGGGGGATGTTGAACTGAAGAATGAGGTGACCTGCCTTGGGACCTAATGGAATCATTGTAGCTTATCTGTTGAGAAAACTGAGGGTGCTCCGGGATGGAAGCAGGGAGATGAGTAGAAGGCTACTGGAATATACCAAGACAGGTGCTGCCGGGCTGGACTCAGGCTGCTAGGGGTGGAAGTGCTGAGAATCCAGTGGATTCGGGTGCATTTTGAAGGAAGCACTGATGGGACGCCCTGCCAGGTTGGGTGTGGGTGAGGCTGACGAGTCAAAGAAGAGGCCCAGCCTTCTGGCTCATCTCCGCGGTGGCTCCCAGCGGGAGGCCCGTGACACCTGCACCTAAGGTGTAGCCCGTTACATGTTCTGTGTGCATCTCCTTCGTGGTAGTGCGGTCGCAGTGCGGTCATACCATCGTTTGTCTCCCCCGTGCCGATGATGGTGCCGTGAGGGACCGTGTCTGCCCTCGTGCCTTGTGCACCGCAGACCCCTCGTCACGATTTCTCATCTGGTAAAGTGATGCGGAACTGAAGGTCGGTGTTCAAGGTTCTGTTTCCTGCCGAGGTCTCCAAATGCCTATGTTCTGTTTCACCTGTTTTGAGCGGCCTCTGTGTCTTAGAGGCCAGGCCGGGGGCTTTAAGACTGAAATGCTATGGTGAGAATTAGAGGGGTTACTCTGATTTCAACCAAATCAAAAAACAACCCCCTTGGCTTGCAAGTGGGTCAGAGGATCACGTCTTGGGAGAGGCAGCGTTTTCCCGAAGGC